GAAGAAAATAATATGACAATTACATATAGAAATATCTACATTTATTTATAAGTTTAACTAGAAGTAAGAGATAAGTATATTTTTTAAAATATAGTATCTATGAGTCACTGTATGTTTATTATTAATGGAAGAGATACAAAAGATAAGAGGCATAAAAATATAATTCTTTTTAAATGGATCATTAATTTACATTAACTTCAGTTTCATTTTAATTAATTTTGTTTCAAACTATTATTATAATTTTTAATCATCTAATAGAAATTAATTTTCAAATAAATCTGGATAATCTCACTGGAGAATAATTAAGAATTTTGTAAAAAATGAAGTAAGAAGAACTTATTACTAGTTATTCAATTGATGTCTTTATTTCAATTTTGGAAAAATTTTTAAATTTTTAAAAATTTTATATATTTTTGAATTTATTTTTTTCTTTTCAAATATTCTGTCTTATTAAAAATATTATTAATTTTATATATATTATACATTATAATACATTATAATTTTTGTAAAGAAACTATCTTTTATAGTAAAAACACTAAATTATACATTATTACAAATGATACATAATTAATTATTTGAGGGTTAAAGTTATCCTTGACTATTAATTATAATTTATCTAATTAAAAATCATTGTAATATTTTAATTTTATTATTATTTTTTTATCAACTAACTGAATTTTATGTCTTTGTATCTCTTCCACTAACTATTCAGAAGTAAGAGATCGTTCTAGATATAAAAAGGCGGCGAGAATGGGCTGGAGAAAGTAAGTCTTCGTACAGGTCTTGATTATTACCCAGTACGTAATTAGAAGCCTTCTTTTATTTGTTTTTATTTATCTTGATCAAGTTAATTGACACACTTTGCAATAGGAAAGCAATATTGCACGACTTGTTACATTACCTGTCAATTATCAAACAAAAATTCAAGTTCAAAAAACAGCATGAATGAAGAGACTAATTTTATAGAAGATCACAATATTATATTGCAATTAGACCACATCATACATCTGATTGCATTATTTTGCAATGTATCTGCATGCACAAGAATTAAAGTCTTTAATAGAAACTCTTGTTTTTTACCATTTTACATTATGTATAACCTTTTTATCAAATAATTAATATTAAAATATGTATATTTACCTAAATTATATTCACTTTTTTATAATTATTCTGTTCTTGAAGTAACAAGAAATATATTTATTAAATGGTTCTTATCAAGTGAGTAATATACATAAATATATTATATTTAAAATAATAAATTTGTTTAAATTGCTCGTTTTATTTTATAATTGTTTTATAATTATTATAATGATATATAAAATAATTATTATAATGATATATAAAATAATATTACCATACAAGATATCCAAAAAGTATAATTCTTTAATTTCATTCCTGATATTTCTTTATATTTTGATTTGAAAAATCAATTCCCTTAAATTTTTAGACATTCTATGTAAAAGAAAAAAAAAATTGAAGTAAAATAAATATAATTAGAAATATATTTAAAAATTGTAAAATCTCTTTTAATCATATTATTCAAATTATAAATAATTTTCTTTTTATTTCTAAAATATTAAAATTAATACATCATATGAAAATTACTCTATATAATTTAAACAATTTTAAAATATTTTTTGTGAACTTTTGGAATTATCAATTAATCACAATTATAAATTTTAGACAGAACCGTTCGATGACCCTGTTGCATACAAAGGCGAGGTGATCGTCGGTTTGAAGTTCGTGCCACCGGATCCTACGCAACAGGAACGTGATCGAGAAGCAGGATCAGAACGTGGTACCTCTAAGTCTAAGAAGAATATGAGCCGTGGCGCGTTACACGTGCTCGTAAAGGAAGCTAGAAATTTGCAAACCAGGGCAAAGAATTCAGGAACGTGTGATCCATTCTGTAAAAGGTATCATTTATTAATACTTGCATTGTTTTCTTCCTATTGTTAACAAATAAGGAGAGACAATAAAAATCATCAATTTTTAAATCTTTTTTTTTTAAATTTATAGAATTATTAATTCTCTAATTTGACTTTTCCATCTTTATAATTAATAACAAATATGCATATACATAATTTCAACAAAAAAAAAACAAATGATCTACTATTTATTTCTGATATGAATGATTCTTTATAATTAACAAGACTATTAAATTTACATACCTTTATTATTTATTATTATGCAATCTAATAATTGAAATAAAAAATAGATTTATATTAATTTGTATTATTTTTAGTTACTTATTACCTGACAAGGGTCGATCAGGAAAACAAAAGACTGGAGTAGTTCGCAGATCAGGTGGTTCACCAGTATGGGGTCACACTTTCATTTACAAAGATGTGAGTCTTCAAGAATTAGCAGAACGTGGACTGGAATTAACAGTCTGGGATCACGATCGTATTGCCAGCAACGAATTTTTAGGAGGTGTTCGATTTAATCTTGGTACAGGTAAGTAAATTATAATTTATTATATTTTTTATAAAATCTTTAACTTATTAAAAAATAATATAATATCAAATTTTTTTAAGTCAATATAATGTTTTACTTTATACTTACTAATATAATACAGAATATAAAAAATTTTCCAATTTAAATTATATACACATAATAATAAACAAATGAATTATATGATTTTTTATTAATTATAATTCTTGCAGGAAAACATTATGGAAAACCAGTAGATTGGATGGACGCAACCGGTCGAGAATTATCCCTTTGGCAAAGCATGCTTGAGAGGCCGAATTTCTGGGTGGAGGGTGCCGTGACTTTGAGGCCAAATTTGCATAATCATGGGAAAAACAGCAACACCTAATCATTATGTATCGTCTCAGTGATTTCTTTTGTACTTAAATGACACTCGAGTGTTCACTCGTGGACCTTGTTAGTTCCATCTCAAAGAAGCTCGTTACGCTTCGGCCTAGTTTAACTTCAAACGCAAATATGTATTATGTGTCAGTGTAAGCGGACCACATTCGTCTAATAATTTCGAAATGCAACTTTCGAAAAAAAAAAAAAAAAAAA